TGTGGTAGGATAGTCCCCTGGGCACTGGGAATATTATGGCTCTGGTTCAGAGACACGACACGTTTGGGCTCAACAACGGATGCTAAGCATACACACACACACTCAACTGTGGTGCTCTTTCTCTCGCAGAGACTCCGTTGCCCTTCCTGCCTGCGTTTGAGCATCAGTCCCCATCTGGAGACATCCTGGGCCCTACACATGGCTGTGTGAGGGGCTGGACCATCCAGGATAGCTTCCCTTATGGCCTGGTGTCCCCAGGGCCAGCCGGAAGTGGGCTCAGGGCGCCAGGATGGCTGGGCCTCTCCCACAGGGCAGCTGGACTTCTTGCCGGCCAATGTAGGGGTCCCCCAAACACAAAAGTGAAATCCTCCCAGCCTTCTTAAGGCTTAGGCCAGGAATGGGCAGCCTCACTCCAGCGGTACTCAGGAGACAGGCTGGCCCAGAGCGCCGGTGAGAGGGGGGAGTCATGAATGCTGGGGGCCCGGGTCATTCTCTCTGGGGACCCTGGGCACTCCCCTGGCAGCCAGGCTTCACCAAGCAGGACCCAGGCCTATCTTTCCCTGCGTTCAGAGAAAAATGTGAGAGATAGGGGCTGCGGGAGCTGCACACTCCCCATCCTGCTCCTTCCACCCAAAGTGCTGCTATGCTTATTCGCCTTGCCGGAGCCGTCCCCGCAGCTTACCGTCGGCAGCTCGAGCTCCTTAAATGAAAAACACCCCGCAAATCTGGTAAAGCTCGTTTTCAGAAGCGAAGCCTCAGACCAGAGAGGGTGCGACCCGGGCGGAGAGCAAGGCTGCCGAGCCCAGAGTAGCCCCGGCCTCGGGTTCCGGTCCCGATGCCAGGGCGCCCCTCCTGTCCCCGGCACACCGGCCACCGGCCCCGAGCCTCGCGGAGACCTGATGGTGGCCAGACTCAGCTTTGCCCAAGCAGGGGGGGTGGGGGGCGGTGGCGCCCGTGCTGGAGGGGGCGTGGGGGGCGGCGCCCAGGCTGGAGGTCGTGGGGAGGCTCCCAGGTCAGGGAAGTGTGGGGGCGGTGCCCAGGCTGGAGGAGGAGGGCGGTGGCGCCCGTGCTGGAGGGGGCGTGGGGGGATTGGTGCTCAGGCTGGAGGGAGCGGAGGGAGGCTCCCAGATCAGGGGTGTGCGTGTGGGCGGTGCCCAGGCTGGAGAGGGCGTGGGGGGCGGTGTCCAGGCTGGAGGAGGAGGGCGGTGGCGCCCGTGCTGGAGGGGGAGTGGGGGGAACGTGCTGGAGAGGGCGGAGGGAGGCTCCCAGGTCAGGGGTGTGTGTGGGGGCGGTGCCCAGACTGGAGGGGGCGAGGGGAAGCTCCGGTGTCCAGGCTGTTGGGGGGGGCGCCCGTGCTGGAGGGGGCGTGGGGGGAGCGGTGCTCAGGCTGGAGGGGGCGGAGGGAGGCTCCCAGGTCAGGGGTGTGCGTGTGGGCGGTGCCCAGGCTGGAGGGGGCGTGGGGGCGGTGCCCAGGCTGGGATGGGGCGGAGGGGCTGTCGCGGAACCCGGTGGGAGTGTTGGGGAGGAAGCACAGCCGGACCGGCGGGAAGTTGGGGGTACCGGCCACACAGTCTGTGCTTACCCTCTTCCTTGCCTGTCTCTCCAGGGTTGCGCGGGCCCCTCTCTGGCCCGGAGGGCCCGGACAGGTCGCCCCCTCCGGACCCGAGGACACTCACCCAATAATCGCTTCCTAGCCCCGCCACGCTGCCAAAGGCAGGGTTCCGGGGCCTCCTTCCCATCCTCCTGCCCCCTTCACGCCCTGCGTCTCCTCTTTAGACACTGATGGACGGGGGCTATCCACTGGACTGCAGACCCCTTGGGATCAAAGGTTAATCCCAGCATCTCAATCTCCCCCAAAGGGCTGCTCCTGGACAGAGACATCCACAGACATTTACAGTGAAAAGATAGGACCCCCTCCATGCTCCAAATGAGACAGATGATTGTGTGATTTGTTCTGTGTAGGGCACTGTTTTCTCCCTACAGTTCCATCACTTGGACTTCAACTGCTGGATCCTTCCCACCTGCCATATGAATGTCCCTCTTCCAAGGAAACCCCTGACCCTTGAGGGACATAGAGCCACCCCCCTCAGAACCTGAGCCGGGGCTGAGCCTTCTGTCTCGGGGTGTCTGTCCTCCCACTGCCCAGCTTCACACCTGACACCAGTTGTACTCAGTAAATATCGGGAATGGAGACTGTATGCTCCTGATCTATCTGACTCCCAGGTGCCTGGTCAACTGCAGGAGTTTGGCATGTGGGTGTTTTCACTCTTCCTTGACCAAGTGACTTCAGCTTTGGCTTCATCTGGGTCCTGTAGGCTGCCTCCAAATCTGTACTCCAGCGCCAGTCACTGTTTAGGTCTCCGGGCTGCCTGCTGATCTCTCCTCTCAGCTTTCACGACAGGAAAGTGAAAGAGTCAGAGAAGGAGGGGAAGAAGGGCAGAGGACAAGGCATCTATGTTTGGGGAAAGCAGGAGGAAGGAGAGACAGAGAGGAGGAGGAGGTGGCTCACCCGGGCAGGGTGCCTTTTTCAGAAGGGAAGAGCACTTAAGGGAGCCAGGAGAGAGCCTGCTCCAAACGTCCAATGCCGCCCCCTTCGAACACAGCCCCACCCTCCAGGACCCTGGTTAACCCTCTGGGACCCTGGCTAGCCCAGCAGGCTGTTGGTCAAAAGGATGCTCAAAGTCACCAGGACTTACGCCAAGGGCCCTGGTCTTCTAGGTTTGTGGGGAAGGACAGATAATGGATTTGCTGCCCCTGGGTAGCCTTGCGGAGGCTTTTCCACCACAAAGGCTCCCTCAGCTCTGCGAGTGTCCACATAGGAAGCACAGAGCTGCTCCCTTCCGATTCCTAAAGCTGAGTTAATCCTTGGAAGCAGCAAGCAAACCAGGGAACCTTTAGGGCCTTAGCTGCACCATCTGTAAATGGGGATAACAGTGTCTCTCTTGGAGTTCCTGAGGATCAATCCTGAGGATTGAAAGCGACTGAGAATGCCCAGGGCTGCCCAGCGAGGGTGGGTGATTGTTAGTCTCGGTGTGAGACTCTGAGTGAGGATGGCCCGAAATGCCTGTGCCCCAGCCCCTTGCCCTGAACGATGCGTGCATCAGAGAGTTTCCACAAGGGAAGTAGCAGGATCAGATTCAGGGGACCTGCACATGTGGTGGATGAATTGGCCTTTTCTCTCTTTCCCCATTACTCCAGACTCATTCCTGCCTGAGGACCTTTGCCTGGAGTGTTCTCCCTACCAGTTTTGCTCAGTTGGCTCCTTCTGGTCACTTAGGTCTCAGCTCACTTGACTGCTTCAGAGTTCACTCCCACACCTCGCCAGCACCTTATATTTCTCTGCATAGCACTGTGCGAACTAGAGCGGGTATCTTATCCTCTTTACCAGTGCACCTTGGCTCTTATGGTGGGGATCATGGCAGCTCAACAAATATTTGTTGAGAGAATAAAAGAACAAGATAAGAAAGCCTAAACAGAGTGGCAGCAGTGGGGATGGAGAGGGATGGATCAGAGCAATAGGAAGGAGGCTACTCATTAGAAGAGGACATCAAGCATCTCAGGTTTCAGGGTGAGTGGAGGGAACAGTCACTAAGCCCAGAGTCACAGAGAAAGGAGCCTCACTCAGCATGCTCCTCTCTTCTCTAGAGCACTTTCATTACAGCTGTGTGCCCAGGCCCTAGGTGCTTGTTGAGGAGCAGTGGCCAAATCACTAAGGGAGTGTGGAAAGGTGGTTTGATTCACTCTTCTCCCTCACCCCTTTTTAGCTGACCTTTGCATTTATATGAAAGCAAAGTAACTGGGCCTCTCTGTGACAATCTAGGAGCACTTACTTCCCTGTGACTGTGTAATTCCAGGGTTAAAACGGCTGCAGGTGCTGGGTTCATACATCTGAAGAGCACAGCAGTTCAAAAGCAAGTGGGGGTGGAGGAACGCCTCCTGGTTAATAACGCCACAGGGCCCTGCGCTGGGGACATCTGCAGGCACCTGGTGGTGGTGGTCAGGCAAAGAGAGCTGAGCCTTGCCCACTGAATCCGCGTGCGTCCTCCTGGCTGGCTGCTGAGTCAGGCCTGCAGGGCTGGCGATGCAGCAGCATGAGGCCCAGGAGTGCTCTCTGACCTGGAAGTACTGCCCTTCAGGCGGGGCTGGAGGTCGTGGCACTGCCGCCACGGCGGGGGGGGGGGGGGTGTGCGGCAGCACGGGGTGGCGTCTTTGCCCTTGCCAGGCGCTCGCGGTGCAGTCCGTGCGAGGCCTGTGTGGCGGAGGGAAGCGCCTGGAAACTCCCTCTGAGCTCGCATTCTCGAGGATCCTGGGGGCAGCGAGGGAATAATGAGATGGGGAGGGCCAGGGTCTTGATCAAAGACTAGATCTTACTGGAGAAGGCAGAGAGACCTCCTGGCTTAGCCTAGCCCCTTAGGACCCCTTCCTTTGGAGAGGCTGCTGAAAGCCCTCCTTGTGGGTTCCAGGGAGATTGAAACGCGCGCATAAAACGCGTGAAGACGGGGCTTGGCACCCAGCGAACATCACTCCGGAGGCGGGCGAGCAGGAGGGAAGGACCCGGACGCGGTGGTCGAGGGTGGCGGCGCCCCGCCCCAGCGCCCCCTTCCCGCGCGTCCGCAGCGCTCCACACCGCGCCAGGAACCTCTTTCCCGGCCGCGCCCCGCCCCGCCCCCCGGAGGCGGGCAGGTGACGTCACGGGCGGCGCGCGGCATTGTGGGGCGGGAGCGCCGAGCCGGGGGAGGGACGCCGAGACGCCATTTTCGGCGGCGGGAGCGGCGGAGCCGGAGCAGAGCGGAGCCGGCGGGCG